TCTTGCTGCAGATGGCATTGTTAGTTGCTTTCGATATTACAATAACATTTTTGTCTGTAGAAACTATCCCAAAATTGTAGTGGTGGTAGTTGGTTAAAAAGAAAACTAACTACGCCACAAAATGTCACACTACATTGGTCATCAATCGTACCACAAATACCTGAATTACGGCTCATTTTTAAACTGTTTTTTCACATTTAACGTAGGAAACAACTACTCCGCGGACAACAGCTCCGTCCAACATTGAATTACATCCGCAATATCTATTAAATAAGGTCGTAGACACTGAGTAGCACTGACAATCGGTTCTCGTGTCTATGAGCATATTTTGCTCCGTTCGGATATTATAGTCGACCCGTGGTGCAAAAATGTCGTACCGAATGAAATTATATACATATGGCATTGCCAGAAACGCTATTAAAGCGTAATACGCGTTTGGGCGGCCTGGTTTACGTAACTCATATATCAAAGTGCAGAACTACCGTTATTTATCCACGGGGAAAGAGTGCGGGGAAGGGGGGCAAGTACTGTGGCCATCGCCAGGGGAGATATTACTTGAGTGTTCGGATCATATACAGCGTACGGCGCACTGGCGCTTCCCTGTAACGTAACCTATGACATAACGCTTTAGTGGATCCAGGAGGCGTTGTTCCGTTGTTGGTGTGTCGATCACTTACATGTACAAGTGATCAGTATATTTGTATGACCTTGGAAATAATGCATCTCGAGAAAAGGAAATAGTGGTACGCAGAAAACACTCAGACACTGTCCAATTCCAGATACCAACTGAATTGCGTAATGCTGGATAGCTTAGTACCTCGTGTTATCCGCCATGCCGTTGTCACATTGCTCGATATGAATTTTATCGAATTTTAAATTTATTACAACGCTAATTATTTTTAAGAATTAAGCATAAAGAAGTTCAAAAAATTGATAAACATTGTATTTTATGGTATTTTATGCACGCACTTATCTTTTGTACATACAAGTGGGGATTTTCATAATTTTTTTCTCGGAAATGGTTGAGTTTAGGACCCATGTCGTATAAGTTTTTTTTTTGTCTATTTTAATGTATTCTATCGTCTGTTAAAATTAAGGCAGTCAAACTCCTAAGGACTCCTAGGAAAGTCTATAATTGTTATTTTTCGTTTATTCTTTCTTTTTTGCACTTATCAATAACCATGCAATTTCCACCGTACAAAGATAGTGATAATACGCTTCCCGACTTGACACTGCTGAGTAACCTATGACACGACAAGCCCTCAGATCCCCGAGAGATGCTGCTCCGCCAAGATAACAGCCATTCCGGATCTTCCGAGACAATTATGTCGTAAAAAATAATATTACCATCGGCTGGCGTGTTAAAGGATTGGGCCGCTACGTCTGCAAATTTACGACCAGACGTGATGAGCCGAGTTGCAGTGTGAAGGGGTGCTTACAGCGGCAACTCCTCACTTATTACGCTCTAATCGCATTATCAGACATAACTGCTGGATAATGCCCCAATATCCCCATCGTTCCAATTTCATTGCGATGCTGTAAAATGGGAGTTATTACTAATTTCTATTACGGCGCCGGGCGAGTGGGGGTTCGCGTAGTTCGCTGTTACGGCGACGGGGAATTTTATAAAGCCCATCGCTAAAATTATAGCGATTTTAATAATTATTTCTTTAGGATGTGATACGTAAGATTTTTATCAATTAAATCATCCACCCACTCTTCATTGCTAATACATCAACTCCTGTGTTAACCAGTAACGTTGCCGATGTTATTCGGAAGGAATGGCCTGTATATGTTTCAGGATGTTCTAGTTTCAAAAACTGTGCAAACCCCATAGATTAAGCTACTGTTGCAGGGCGTATATTTGAAAGGGAACTAAATTTCTAAGGTTTACAGATAATCCATTTCCTAAACTATTTTGAAAATTCCATAACGCGACTGGTAAAACGAAACTTGTTATTCTTTCGCCTGCTTTCGCTCTTTCCGGGGTCGAATAACAGACGCAAACTGGCACTATTGGTGGATCTCAGCCACCTTTCCGTACGATGATCTAATATATTCTGACAGGGGTAACGCATCCTCAGGCTTTGACGCGAACTGGTGGGAAAGTATACGAGGAGCCCCCACGACCTGTGCCCTTCACCTGCAGCCTTTTGCGCTGTCTTACCTTTCATGTTAATTTCGGATGGAGCAGGATATGAATATATACGGTTGTTTTCGGAAGGATGTAAACGCAGTCTATGATATTTCTCTTTCGCTACCATTTTGAGAAATGTACATTATTATTGAAAATTTAAAGAATACCAAATAAAGGATTTTACAGTTTCATCAATTTCCATCGAGAAATAGCGCAAGCAAAAAATGTCAATGTGTACTTATTGTTATGATTTGTTTGTATGATAACTTAAAACGTACCAAAAAAAGTACCAAAATATAAAATTCTTGAAATAAATAAAAATATTTAACTATAGTATAGTAAATAAGTTACATTTTCTTGAAATTGATCTTACATAAAAATGGTAAATGTAAATTTTCTATAATTTTTCATTTATGGCGAAATATTCTAGCCTCTTTATTAAAATGCAATTTTCTTTTGCAGGTGATTTAATCCTCAACGACCACATCTTTTCTTCAGGATAATGTAAGTACCACAAGGATATATAATTGTCCCTTTTGAAATTTTAAATTTTGACGGGTTTGTCTTCATGTGAATTTACATGCTCTCACATTAACAGATGTAGAAATATCTAGATGGCTGTGCCATCTGAAAATTCACATGTTTCCAACAGCCCACTTTGTACCTAGAAAAACAAAGTAGGCGTGTTATATCATTATGTCGGTCAGAACATTTCAACGTACGCCATGTACCGCTGCTACAATGTAAGGCTATACATTAGGTGATTATTTTTCGATACGCCCTATAGAGCATTAATTACACACGTAGAGATAATGGTAATGATATCGGGTAATGACGCCGCTATATACAATATTTACAGCTTGAGGTGCATTAAAATATTTCCCTGGCGATTCCAGCATACTATATGATTTGTTTCGTGATCTGGTGCTGGGGCACGTAAATTTGCATTATTTAGCGATATCCGCCTAATAATAATATATGTGGGCAGGTACTTTTGTAGGAACGTAACTAAAATGCAGGGTCTGTAGCGTTTGATATATACGGACTCGAACAAATGGCGGGATTTCCAGAAAAACATAACGCAGATAATCTTTATGGCCCTATCACAGGTTAAAACGCACTTGTATGTTTCTCATTGTATGAACTAAATTATATAAATAATGAAGTAACTACTTAATTTTAGGAATTTCAAATTCAAATTTCAGTACATCAGGAATTGCATACATAAAATTGAGGAGTTATGAGCTTTTAAATTCATATTAGACTGCGCAAATATCGGGATGCAATTCATGAAAATATCTTCAATCACCATAATCTATGATTGAATTCATACCAAATTTATTTTTGACATGTGTTGTAAAGATAATCACTTTTAGAGAAAAGAACGAGACGGCGTTGTTATGTTCGCTATTTCATTTTTGTTACTTAAACTGTCAGCAACATAACTTTATGCAATTGTGGCTGATTTCTACCCACCATGTCTCTTGATTGCTAATAGGTACATCAACTCCTGTATTAGCCAATAACGTTGTCGATGTTCTTCGGAATGAATGGTCTGTATATGTTTCAGGATGTTCTAGTTTCAAAAACTGTGCATTCTTATTAGGAATCATAGAAAAGATATTCTTACCGACTGGTTGGTTGTAACATCTACCTGCTGGATAGCGCATAAAAAAGCGTGAAAATTTTTTAAAATTTTTCAAATGAAACACTGTATTTTATTGTTCTATTTTATTCACATATCGGTCCACTTCAACTTTTATTAAGCATGTTATATATCTAAAATTGTTAGTTTTTAAGATATAGCAACATTTCTGAAATTATTTTTTTATAGAATACCACAAATAAATACTAACTAATAAAATTAACTCAAAATTGAATGATAAATTATGAACTGACAAGTTGACACCATGTGTTTCAAGCCATATCCATTTAAAAAATGTAATATTTGGGGTATCCCGTTTTTACTCATCGCCCTGTGTGTTTCAAATTAATTTTGTCCTTTAGGTTTTTTGATTCTGTACAACTTTTATGTAATTTTTTTTTTCTGTATTATGAATAACAAGGGAGTTTTTTTTACTTTCTCACACTAATGGCCCACCCTGTATATACATGTGGAAGCTGCTTTAGATACACAGTTAAAAAAATATATCACATCGAGAGCCCTGTTATCGCGTATTACATTAGCACGCAAACTTTGCCTCTAGTCTACCCGCACTCAATTTCGAACAGAGCAAAGCTGCTTACACTAAAACACTGAACATACGTAACGCCAAGAACGTCCTTTCTCTGAAAGCCCTTCTAAAAATATACCTACGCCGGATATGCACGCTGCACATTCGCTTCCGGTTTACATTGATAGGATATGAATACACTAAATGAGAAATGGCTTGTAACGCTACAAGATTCTTAGCTTAATGCCTCTCGCTGGAGGAACATTAAGATATACTGGATGCTGAACATGCTTAGAGATAAATCTGAGGTAGCTGCCGCGACTGGCTTGACGTTATTCATCCCCCGAGATAGAATAAAATCAGGACGAGCACTTTGAGTATATAAAAAAAATGTAAGTCTGGAGGGTGCAAATTTAGCGCAAATTGTTCAATATTTCTAGAAAATTTCGGTAAATTCTGTAATTGAAAGTGCTTTTTTATGAACTCAATACCTGCTCGATGCAGAAAGGTCCACACTACACAACGATACCAAAATCACTCCGATCGGACCACCCCTGCGCCCAGCGGTCGTGAAAAAATGAAAGTAAAATCGCTTTTTAACGAATCACATAAACTTCAAAAGAAAATTCAGGTAACAATGCCGCCACATCGAAAAATAATAATTAGATAAAGCCAAACCCATCGCTTACCCTCCTCGTCGCTTCCAATCATGGAATATCTGTCGAAACCGCTGAGATTTCGGTGCGTGCCTAATCCGAAGTCGTCCTTCGTCCACTGGAGGATGCCGCTCTTGTCTATAACCCTGCAGGGCAGCGTGACCCTTGAACCCACCACGGCCGTCTGATCTTGCGGCTCCATGGCGAACTTCTGCTCCCGCATATCCTCCGCTAGGCACAAGAGGAAGAGGCTAGATATCCGCAGGAGGAGCAGCAGGAATTTGTGTGGCGAAGTCATGTTGATTGTCGGTATGCGAGTCTGGAACAAAGAAATTAAATTAACAACTAGTGTTCTGTAAATTGAAAACAATAAATTTACTTCTGATATGTAGGAAACAGGGATACAATTTCTTCGCTGAATATTATTGTAATCAACTTTAAAATGTCAATTGTAGTTCAAAGAGAACCGAGATGGTATATTTAAATGGGAAATGGGAATAATTAAGAAAAGTTTGCGAAAGCCTAAGAAACTTGAATAATTGCAGAACGACACTAAAAGAGACTACATCGGAATCATTTGATATGCCTCAAATTTGCTCCTCTAGTCGTTTCCATGTCCTTCAAATCCCTTTCCACTATTTGTATCTATTTGGTCCCTGATCTACACCTTTTACTGCCTCTTGTGAGTATCTATTTTGTCGGTCTCTCTGTTTCTAATCTTCCCACATGTCACAGTCACTTTATTCTTTGTGTTTAAACTACATTTGTTATTACTTGCTCTCTATATATTTCCGAGATCGTCGCCATTTCTTCACCTCTGCCATAAGTCTTCATCTTTCTTTCCTTCATATTCCCAGTAGTGTTTTTCTTTTTAATTACACTAAAGACAGAAATTTACAGTTTTGGTTGGAGAAAAAACTACATTCACCACCAAACTTTCACTCTCTACAATATTTGCCACAGAGTTCCTGTTACTGTTTAAAGCAATCTTTGCTGACATTGCCTTCATCTCCACATCCACGAACAAGCTGGAAGAATTCATTAGTTTCACTGGCGTAGTCACAAGGCTGACGAAATGATTCATCCCTTCAAAAATCCCCGTCCTCCCGTCACAAATAGATTTGATGAAAATAAAAGGGGCACCTCGCGCGGCATCAGATATCTGTTTTAATAAAGTCACGGGGTGGTGTTGCTTCTGTCATCGGCTTTATTTAGTCGGTGTCAGAGAGCGACTGAGTTATGACGGTGGCGGTAAATCAGGTGCCAATATGAACAGGTTAGCAGTTAGTTAAAATCTAGGCGTAGCTGGGGAAATGGAACCGGGTAGTTGGACGTTTTCGGGTTAATGCATATTTTAGATTGAGTTAGGGGTTGTGAAATGCATTCGTTAACAAATAGAACAGTCTGGAATTGCTGCCAATTTAGATATTTTCTCTGAACGGAATAGTCTAAAGTCTAAGGTGAATAATTTAGAATTTAGCAGATATAGGAAATGGGTTATTTATTATTAGGAACCGCTTCTCTTATTCCTGTCTAGTCTTGGATCTACGTAGCAAGAATTTTAATTCACTTTAAATACAGAAACTGCGGGATTAGGTTCATTACCAAAAAATAAGTTTGCTCTATAAACCTTTTCCTTCGGGACTATTTGAAAGAGACGACTGAAGTAGAGATCAACTTCAGTAAGTTCATTAGACATAGTTCGATGATTCACCTCATCAAGAACTTTACCAAAATCTGTGTAAATAGCATCTATGCATGTAAGTAGCGCAACGTCTTATCAGAAGTTTGTTTTATTCCGGGATCAAGTCATGCCAGGCGTGTAGTTCGGCACTTATACAAAGATTAATGTTTCTCGGTGCTAGACTGCCCCGCAATTTTATTTCTTGCCTCGGCGTGTATCGCCGCAACCTCACCGAACGCTCACCTCGGCGTTGCCGACCTCGTACCTCCAGGAAAACTTCTTTCTCTGAGATCATCGTCGATCAAACTCGGAAGTCGAACGTAAAAAACTTGGTCGTCGTCCCGGACCAGCTAGGATTTGCAATCGGGGCGACTTCGGAAAGGTAATAAGTCAGCGTCGCGCGTCAACGGCAGCAACAAGTACGCGGCATAGATCACCGGGGAGAGCGGGTTCCTGTCCGGCGGTGGTGTCTCAAGTAATTAAACGGTGTTAGCACAAAAGACCGTCAATTCGTCACATTCGCGCTAAGCTTGCGGAGCCTTTTATCCGCCCCCGTACGACGAGGCAGCTAAGGATTCGCTTTATGAAGGCGTACGGCCAGCTATGAGTTCGTTAGGGGACCGAGGTTTATTTTTCCTGAAGTAACGAAGTTTTTATTAAAAAATATATTTCCAATATTCAATGTTAATGTTGTAACTATATGTTCTGTGACCAAAGGGAAGTTTTATGAACAGACTGGGAAATCCTCTGGGAGGATTAATATAACTCCTCCAGAAAATTTCGATGGGAGCTACGGTTCTTCATAACCGGGCTTCAGAACGTATATTCGTCGATACTTAATAGTTATTTACACCATAAAGGAGGTATTATTTACCAGTCGAGGACGATTTTGCGCCCGAGCGATGACATTGTAAATACAATTCCAGATTCTCAAAATGGTATGTCACATACGTTTACAATTCTCGTCTGGGTTCTGTTTCTCACCCAGAAATTCTCAAGAAATATATCAAGATTAGGTTGGAAATTAAAATTAAATGTGCTATCAAGCAGGTAGCTGTTACAACCAACCAGTCGACAAAATACCCTTTCTATGATTCCTAATAAGATTGCATAGTTTTTGAAACTAGAACATCCTGAAACATATACAGGCCATTCATTCCGAAGAACATCGGCAACGTTACTGGCTAATACAGGAGTTGATGTACGAGTATTAGCAATCAAGAGACATGGTGGGTGGAAATCAGCATCATGCTGTTTTAATGGATCAGTCAGATAATATTGAGCCTCCGGTCAAATCAGTTTGAGAAAAATGTGACGATTAGTGAACTCGAGGGGAATAATTATCCAGATTTTATAAATCTTACTAAATGTAATAACTGTATAATTACTATTCATAATAATTAATAAAATATAATATTCATCAAATATTTCTATTTATTCATAAAATATGCATTTATAACTCGAAATTGCTTTTTTTTCCTAGGGAGGTAAGTTACCTTACTGACCTACCGTTGTCCATAGCAATTTCCACTTCTACGGTAAAATCCACCTCCTTAAAAACAATGTATTAATAGTCTATTTACCATAGTGGGAGCAGATAAAAAAAATATCATTCACGGCGTCTATTAGATTTTTTTATGACTTTCTGAACCTGATCTATTCCGACTGCACCAAATTTTATCTTGTTCCTATGCTAATTGCTTTGTTGTAGCTTTTTCATGCCTTGCCGAAGCTAATTGTTCTTTCAATTTACCAAATTCTGTTTCCAAAGTTTTCAATTCGTTATCTTGTTCTATAGAAGCAAATTTCAGTTTTGCTTATTGATGTATTGCTACAGTTTGTAACATGTAAGTAGCAATTTTTACATCTACCTATCATAAATTGTAGTATACGTATCTTCTTGACTTGAAGAAATCAATAGTTTACCCTCTTTCGTAGCTTTGTCGATGTATTCAATTCTTTGAGCTTGTCTGCTTTGTTGTTGATTGTTCGTGGCTTTCCGACCATAAGTGTTATTCAATATTACTAAATGTACTTCTAGCTCTTCATGTTTCAAATTCCCTTTAACTTAACTAAATTCTGAACTGTTTTGAATTTGGTAGCCCTCTATTGATGATGTAGCTCCAAAGCGTAGCTAAGATATTGTAATATCTCTCAGTCTCAGTCTCATGAAATTCTGATCCTCCTTTGCGGCTTTGTCGGTCTCCGCAGTTTTTTGAGACAATTGTTCTTTTGTCGATCTTTCATGCGTTTGATTCATCTCCACTTTCCTTCAGTTTTACTAAATTTTGAAGTATTTCCACTTAAGCTCTTTGCGGTATGATTGGAATTCTTTTCTGCTAATGAGTTTGGTGATCTTACTGATGTAGCTGACTACTTCCTTGTCGAGTCAGAATGAAATATTGGTCTTCTTTTGTCAACTTTTTTCAGCTGGCAAAGCAAGTTCACATCAACACCTTATATCTTCAGCACAACAAACGTAATATGCTGCTTTTTGGGATAAATACCTGTTGTTGTACCTTTTTCTCTGAAGTGTGACATCCCCAGCATATCCGTCACGTTCTGTGCGAGGTGTTGGGCGCCAGATGAGGAATTCCGTGACGCACCTGCTCGCAAAGAACTACAGCGCCGACTAACCGCCGGAATCTTTAATTATCCGGGAATTCCCCGGCACCGCCACTACTCAGCGAACGCCAATTAATTAATCAGACGTACAATTGAATTCCGCCGGCGTGTAACAAGCATTCCTGCGGCGCAAAATCGAGATCTGTCCTTTGCGGCGATGAAATATGCCCCGCCAAGGTGGAGTGCACCCCTAATAATAGAAGTCATTTGTAAAGGATTGTTTACTGGGATTCGAAATGTGACAGTCCCCCTCTTGATTCTCCCGAACGGTTGCCTCAACGCTCCTGAGTTATGTCCGAATTTACCTGGCACTCGGTGAGGGATCGCCCTCCTTCTAACCAATATTAATCCATCTTAGTCCGCGCGCGCCGCGCAACGTTTTCAAGATGACGGAAGTGTTTCGGGGAGAATGGGGCCTAATGAGTCCCGTCTAGGGCTGGCGCCCTTGGAATGCCTCCGTTTTTGTCCGTCGAAATCAACAGCTAGCTGCCCCCGACAGGGTAAGTTTCGTCCTGTGGGGCGCGGAAGCTACACGGTAAAAAATTGACCGTCGAATACATTCAGAATAGTTCAAAGTGCATATTTCTCTACATTTTGTAATGCATCAAACAACTAAATTGATGCTAGGCCACGTATTACATGTTCTTGAATTATCTTAGATAAATGTTGAGGTCTTGTACTTATGTTTTAGTTTTTTTACTATGCATTTATTTTTTAATATCGTTTGTCAGTTATATTTTGGCAAAAACAGTTTTTGTAAACGATCTTAACCCTCAAAGGTCACACTAGTGCGAATTCGCACCACCGTTTTTGTTTCTTGAACAGCTAGCATTTCTCAGGTAGCAGCTGTCGAGGGTTCCACTATAATTAATTCTATAGCCCAAACAGTCGAGCCGTACCACAGTTGGCCTGTCTCAATCTAGAAATAAAGTGAATTGAAACGCAAATTTCCGATTTTTTAAACCTCATTTTACCTGTCGAATAGACTAGAACATTGTTTATTTAGTTAT